GCAGTTAAGAGCACTGACTGCTCTTCCAAAGGCCCTATGAGTTCAATTCCCAGCAAACACATGGTGGCTCATAACCATCTGTAATGGGATCCAATGCCCTCTCCTGGTGTATCTGAAGACAATGACAGTGTACTCATACATAAAATAAGTAAATAAATCTTAAAAAGAAAAAAATCTCTTTAGATACTTCCTTCCCATGAAATTTGAACAGCACAGTGAAACACTGTTTTTATGCACTATGTAAAGCCACAAACAATTAGAATATCTATGAATTTTTCACAGGGCCCCTTTGGAGGTAGTCTCACTACTGCCAAGAATGTACTAGAACATAAACCATCTGGAAGCCCTGTTTACTGCCTATCTCCAGGGCTGGACTTGAAGCATGGTAGTTGCTTTGTGAACATTAGTGATGTAACTGAAAATGCAGAGATGCTGAAACACAGAGAGAAGTTGATTGCAGAGTTGGGAGAAGATGAGCAGGGAAGAGGGGACCCCACAGTGGGGTCTTGTGGGCTGGTTGAGGAAGAAAGTTTTAAAGAGGGAGTGAAGACTACAGTGTCAGGTACCTTGGTGTGTGTGACCATGACTACTAGAAACCCTGTAATGTTGGAGGGAAACACCTTTAAGCTGGTCCTAGACTGGACTTCTCCTGGAGTGAAAGTTAGGAAAACTGGAGTCTTACTCTGAGCTCTGCTCCAAACATGCTGTGGGTTGACCCTCTGAATTTGTGCATTTGTTCTGCTTGGGTGGGAGTCTCACTGTGGTATAGATCATTAGCCACTGTGTCCCCAGCTACACTAAAACTCCCACACACATCTCCAAGGCAGCAGTCAGCTCCTAGGGATTTCTCTCACTTCACTCTTCCAGCAGACCTCAGGCCTGGGTTTCCTGGGAGTATCTTTGACTTCAGGCCCCTGTCCACTGGGTAGTAAAATCAGTGGAAGCCCTGAGGAGTGGTGGGGTCTTATCTTTGCTTTTCCAGACCTAATAGCTCAGCAGTCCTGTTTATTTACCCAGAGCAGCTGCCCGCTGAGAAAATAGCTGTTTGTTTCCAAGTATGTCGTGTGAACCTGGGCTAAATATACCCACACCACAGCCTCCCCAGCCCCCGCCGGGAACAACATGCCCCATTCTGCTCTGCTCTCTGCAAAAGCCACTACCAGGATCCACGCCCTTGAAAGCCCTGCTCCCCTCAGGAGAAGGAGCTCTGGAGCAAGATCACCCTGGCCAAGAATGCAGCTTAGAAACAGAGACAGGAGTGGTCAGTGCCTTGTTCTCTGTGTCCACTCCTCCCTGCAGTGACTGTTCCTGGACAGTGAACGCTTTGTGCCTTCATGGGGACAAGGCCTGTTTACTCCAGCCCAGCCCCAGAGCCGAAAATTTCCTGTGGCTGTCAGCCCTCTACTTCAGGAAAGTTCCAGTGCAGGAGCCAGGCTCCGTGTTTTGGCAACCACTCCAGTGTCCCTGATTCCCTGTGGCCCCTTGAGATAACCAAGACTTCTTTCTCTAGCTGTGGCCTCTTTTCTTCCCACAGCCCAGGACTCTAGTCATACTTCTTTTTGTTGCTTTACCTGGGCCTACTTAATTGGCTGACCTCAAACTCTTGTGTGTATCTGAGGATGTCCTTGAACTTCTGATCTTCTTACCTCCATCTTCCTCATGCTGAAGTTATGTTGAAGTTATATGCATGCACCACCATACCAATTATATGTAGAGTATCAGGGACCTAAGGTTTCATGCATGCTAGCCAGACACTCTACCAACTATGCTACATCCTCAGTCTTCATAAGAGTTTTAGTTTTCTTGTTTGTCAAAACTGACCAGGATAGATGAAACAGAAAAGCATGGCCAGCCACTGCTTTCTGCCCAGGTCCTGGGCTCCCCTTAGCTCTGCTGCCAGAGTTCCTTTGCCTTAAAACCCTATGGCACTGTGAAAGTTCTCCCATTTCCAACAGATGGAAACTGGAACAGCAGGCACTCTGATTTACTAAAGATGGGTCTCAGGGCTTCATACCTGCTGCATATTATGTAGGACGCAGCAGCCCTGCCCCGTGAAGGCAGGCCATCCCTGCAGTCTGGCGCTGTTCTACTACCTGTTAGTTAATGTGTTCCCAGCCTCAAGCACCAGACGTCTTAACCTCGGTTGGGAAGTGAGACACTCACCTACCTCTGAGGGCCCTACGGGAAAATGGAGCAATACCTGGGGCTTAGCAGACGTGCAGTGTGTTTGTTCTCCACATATGCAGTCCTGTGTTGCTTAACTTCTCAGGGATGAACTCAGAAATATGTCACAGGCCTCTTTGTTGTGAAGATCAGAGTGTACTTAACAAACCTAGAGGGTAACGCAAGAGAATAGGATGCAGCAAAGAGGTGGCGGAACCAGGGGGACTGAATGTCACGACCAGCCTAACTCACCGGTCATCTGTGTGCAGTGAGCCCTCTCTGTGCCAGACCGTTTCCTAAGCACAAGACAGGGTCTCAGCCCTCAACTAGACACATCTAGTACAGAAGACAAATTGTAGCAACATAATGTATGGTGTGGTCCTGAGAAGTGCTGAGGAGATGGGTATGGCCACCTGTAACCTTAGTGCTCCCAATATTCCGGAGGCTGAGGCAGGAGGATTGAGAATTCAGGACCCTTTCTCTGGAAAAAGGGTAGAAGAGGAGAGGAGAGAGGAAAGAAGATATATGCTAGAAAAAGACCTACAGCAAGGTTGGGGTGGGCACAAGTGTGGGTGCTCTAGACAGTGTGGTCACAGACATCAGATAGCCAGAGGAGGGGCCAGAGAGTGTTAGAGGATATTCGAACCTGTTTCTAGTTAGGGTGTGGCTTGGCCCTTGTCACACACCTTTTAATCCCTCTCCCTGGAATACTGACACACCCTTAGTTCACACCTTTAATACCAAACAATGAAAGTAAAGTTAGTTTGTAGAAGGAAGCAGCCATATTTGAAAGTGATGTCTAGGTGAGTAGCAGACACAGTGACAAATCAGATAGACTTGACAGAATAAAATATGCCCAACTCTCACGAGATGAAAGGAAAGGGAAGCCACCTAAGGGAGAGACAGTACAGGAGAGTACAGTAGAGTTCCTGGAGAGCAGGACAGTAGAGTTGAGAGGGAGGAGGCTGCTAGAATTAGTTTGCGGCCAAGCAGAGCAATTCAGAGGCCAAGAGAAAAAGCTGGATTGAATCAGTCAGCTGGGAGAAGAGTTTGAGCCAGAACAGCTGCGTTGAACCAGCCATCCAGAGTTCAGAAAGAACAAAAAGGATGAGTTTATTCAGCAGCAAATCTCAGAGGATTAAAACATTCTAGGCCTAAATTAGAGGGTGTGGAGACTAGAATCTTCCAAGGTTAGCAGACAGGGGCAGTAAGCCTCCCAGACAACAATTACAACAAGCGAATAAAAGTTACTTTTACAAGAGAGACACACTGGTCTACAGCTATGGGGGAGGAGGCTGATGGCTCTGGTGTGGGGACACCTTGGGAAGATGAAGAGTTTGGAGAGCTGCATGCATTGTGATCAGAAAGGACTTCCCATCTGCTTGCTGCTTCTGGTTCTTTTCTCTAAATGGATGAAGAGAAGCTTTGTCACAAGGGCTCATGGTTCACTGCTGCCTCTTCAAAAGCATCATAAATATTGATCTTTCCGAGTCAATCTGCTCAGAGGTTGTGACATCCTACTGCTAGGTACCAGGATGCAAAGATGGCCCGCTAAGTACAGAGGAAGCTGCTAGAGCAGAGGACTGTGTGCAGTGTACAGTCATCTGGTCAGTGTTCTTAATCAGTCTTCTCTGCAGTACATGGTGGTGGTGAGGGATAGCAGGAAATAAATGGACCAGGCTGCTTCCTGAGTGAGCACACTGGGAGGTGGGGTCCAGAGCCACTTGAAGTCATCAGGGAGCCTCCACTTAGCCAACTGGGACCAGGTGGAGACTGACAGACCCCCATAGAAGCAATAGTATGGGCTCTAACGTCAGCATTCAGTTTCACAGAAATACAGTAAACACTTATTTCTGGAGGCCAAGCACCAAGTTTGGATTCTCTTTGTACCAGTGACCTGGTAGGGTGACCTTAATCAGGTTCCTTGCTTCTCAGAGTCCCAGCTGCCTGAGGAAGAGAGGCCTGCCGGCTGCAAAGCTATGATGTCCATGTGCTGGCTGGGTGTCCGTGTGCTGGCTGGGCCACTGAGTCCTGTGCTCTCCTGATAGCTAAGCTTCGTGACAGAGATCTCTCCTCCTCCTGGTTCAAGATTGACAGCCCTGGGCAGGGATAGGAGTGGCCTCTCTATGTCCATGTTAAGTCTTCCGATATACTACCCCACCTACCAGCCAGCTCTGGCTGAGGCCCCCTTTACAGGGAGAGGAATCTTCTGTCTGAAAGCTCCAAGACCACTAACTGAATGCCCCAGTGAAACTGCTCTGAGAACCTCACCTCCCTGTAGTCTAGCAGTGGGCAAGCCAGAGCCTGAGATTCCTCTTGGCCTCCACTAAGCCTCTAGTGCTGTGTTATGACACCCCATGTGCCCTGTCCCACCTCCTGTACTCCCCTGTCTCCTCGTAGTCCCTGCTGGTGTTGTCCAAGCTGTCTGTTGCTGCTGCTGCTTCTTCTTTTTTTTTTTTTTTTGGTTTTTCGAGACAGGTTTTCTCTGTGTAGCCCTGGCTGTCCTGGAACTCACTCTGTAGACCAGGCTGGCCTCGAACTCAGAAATCTGCCTGCCTCTGCCTCCCGAGTGCTGGGATTAAAGGCGTGCGCCACCAACGCCTGGCTTGTCTGTTGCTTCTTAAGGCAGAACTCACTTTCTCTGCACTTGTGTTCTCAGCAGTCGGCTGGGTTGGTCTTCCCCAGCTGGGGTTCAGAAGGGCAGCCTTTAACCGTTCTCTGGCCATGGTGGGATTAGTGCTGTAGCTTTTCAACTCACCAAGGCACGGGGATGCCCATCCTGCCCATTCTGTGCAAAGATTCACATAGTGTCAACTCTTCCTTCTCTGTCCCTACAGGACACTTTCGTGGAACTCTACGGGAACAATGCAGCAGCCGAGAGCCGGAAAGGCCAGGAGCGTTTCAACCGCTGGTTCCTGACGGGCATGACTGTGGCTGGTGTGGTTCTGCTGGGCTCACTCTTCAGTCGGAAGTGACCGGACACTGACCGTCTTACTCACCTCTCACCTCCCACCCTGCCCCACCACGACTCTCTCTTCAGCCACCATTGCTACCAGGAGAACCACTACATGCAACTCACGCCCCTTCCCCTATCACAGGGTTGGGCCTAGACGGCGTCCCCTGCAGTTAGCTTTCTAGAATCTACCACGCTTCTGTGAAAGCCACCTTCCCCCACATCTCAGTTCCCTTGGCCTCAAAACTCACAAGGTTTTCCCCCCAAACTGGCTCCTTGGAGGCTGGCAAGAGTGGGAAGGGGTGTGCTAGAGGGAGGAGAGCCTGCCTTGTTGGTGGGACCCTAATTACCCCTGAGCCTCTTGGGAATGCTTTCTGGCAGGGAGCTCTTCCCCTGAAAGAGACTAGATTGCCTTGGTTTTGATGTGTGTGGCCTCAGAATTGATCATTTCCCATCCCACTGTGTCCCTGGGGCAGCTCCTCCTTCCCATCTCAACCCCTTAAGAGCCATTGAGTGGAGTGCTTTTAGCCCTTTTGACTAATTAGAAATTCAGGCTGCTTGGGATAATGAGGCAAGGACCAGAACCTCCTCCCCACCTGTGGCCTGGCCAGAGCCCCTACTCCTAGTCTGAATGTTCTCCTAGGGCCTCTGGCTAGAGTCTAGCCTCACCCAGGAGGAGGGGCTTAGCTACTGAAAGTCCACCTTGCTAGAGCTAGAGTGGCTCTTTCAGTTTAGCACCACCCAAGATCCTTGTCCACCCTCCCCTGGCTCCCATGACCATGACTGAGGGACCAACTGGGCCCATGATAGGTGCCCCAGAGCTGTTAATGACTTCAGCTGCCTCACTTCCTGCAAGATCACCCTTTGGCATCTTTGCCTTGGGTGCTGGCCACAGAGTCCAGGGACTCTGGCCTCAGCCCAGAAGTGAAGGGAAGCTATACAGAGCAGCTGTGGGAGCCCCAGGGGCTTCCCTACCTCAGGCAGGAAGGGCAGGAAGAAGAGCCTGGTGCACAGGTGCAGAGGATTGCAAGGGCTTGTCTTTGTGCCCTGCCCCCACCTAGCCTGGGCAGCAAGGCTGCCAAGGTCAGAATGGCCTGGCCAGGAGCCCTTCAGGCCTCTGTCTCCTCCGCTCCACCCTTGGCCTGTCTCATCCCTGTGGGTCCCAGCTCAGCTCTGGCCACCCCGGGCTCTCTGCTGTACATATTCGAGACTAGTTTTTATTCCTTGTGAAGATGATATACTATTTTTGTTAAGCGTGTCTGTATTTATGTGTGAGGAGCTGCTGGCTTGCTGTGCGCGTGCCCGTGGAGAGCTGGTGCCCAGACTGGCAGCCTGATGCTCCCTCCCTGCCTGCCTGGGGAAGCCCATGGGGTCCTAGCCTCTGAGGGGCACCCATCCCTCCCCTCCCCTCACCCTACACTTGTTCCAGCTCTTTGAAATAGTTTGTGTGAAGGTGAAAGTGCAGTTCAGTAATAAATGGTGTCTGTGACTCTGTGAACCACAGCCTGGGCTCTGTGCCGCATGGGGAAGGGAGAAGCTGCTGGGCTCGGGCTCTGCTGCCCTTGGCATGGGGTGACTCACCAAGTTCCTTCAGCCCCAAACTTGTTTCCGGTGTCTACATTCTGTACATTACCAGGAGAAGGGGTATTAATTTAGCACCTTTAAGAGCTAACACTCCTAGCCAGGAGGTGGTGTTGCACACCTTTAATCCCAGCACTTGAGAGGCAGAGGCAGGTGGATTTCTGAGTTTGAGAATTCGAGGCTAGCCTGGTCTACAGAGTGAGTTCCAGGACAGCCAGGGCTATACAGAGAAACCCTGTCTCGAAAAACCAAACCAAAAAAAAAAAAAAAAAAGAGCTAACACTCCAGTGATCCTGACAGTCACAGTTGCTGACCGAGTATTTCCTGAGCCCTGTCGTAGCAGAGGTCTGCCTTTTTAAGACTAGCAGAGAAGATAGGTGTAGAATGTGGTGCTGGTTGGCTTTCCTGAGAAAGCCACTATCTTCTGACACGACATGACGACAGAGTTGAGGGTAAATAAAGCATTATTTTATTATTATGTAACATTATTAAGAGAAGTCTCAGAGTTTCACATGAGTTAGAGATGACTGAGAAAAGATGATGTTTAAGGCTGGAGCGGTGCTTCAGAAGTTGGATGCTTGCTGCACAATCTTGAGGACCAGAATTTAGATTCTAGCACGACTTAATATGCTGAGTGTTCCCCAAATACATGGAATTCTAGTACCAAGGGATGTGATGCCCTCTCTGAACTCTGCCCATATGCAAGCAAGCACACCCTCACACATGTGCATATTTATTCAGACACAGGATTTTTTTTTTTTTTTGAAGATGGCACAGAAGCCAGGCATAGTGGCATGCTTCTTTAATCCCCTGCACTTGGGAGGCAGTAAGTGGATCTCTGTGAATTCGAGGACAGCCTGGTCTACATAGTCCCAAGACAGCCAGAGCTACACAGAGAGAAACCCTGTCTCAAAAAAAAAGAGACAAAGAGGTAGTAACAGTTTGGAGGAAGCATTGGGCTCTGCATGGTGGCACATACCTCTGATCCCAGCACTCAGGAAGCAGAGGCAATCTGGTCTGTACAGAATTTGGGCCATTTTGGACTACATAATGAGATGTCTAGAAGATAAGCACTGTGCAGAGTCCCCACAACTTAACAGAGTCCCAGGAGAGCTCAGATTTGAACAGTGAGAAAGAGTTTAACTAAGGGAGCTCAGGTCCCTCTTTGGACTGAACAAAAGCTACTGTGTGGGCCTTGTGTTTGGCAGCCAGATTAACTCTCGACATGGACTTGGCCCTGGGCAGGGAGCATATGATCCTTAGAGCTCCTATAATCTCTAGATGCTATGAGAACTTTCTAGAAGGGAGCAGTGGAAAACCCCAGAGACCAGTAAGAATCCATTGATTGATTATTACTCTGAACTTAGGAGTATGTGCTCTGGGACACCATAGGCCTTACGACATGCCCACCACTCCCGAAATCTCTGACACCCTTCCTCTTGGAGAAATGGGCATAACTCACATCGTTTGGTCACGATCGAATTAGGTGACCCCAGCGTCAGGCAGGCAGCCTCCAAGGCAAGGAAGTGCTACTTCCAAGTTTGATGTTGCTACTGCTGGAAGTAGGAGGGATGCCCCTATTAGATGGCTAGTTTTCTGAGCAGGCTTGACTACTTCCAGTGACTTCATGATGGGACCTGAAAGCCACTCTAACCCATAGGGCTCTTGCTCAGTGCCAGAGACTTGTAACTCCGAGAGACAGCTTTACCCAGTGTCCTCCCACCTTGCTCTGATCACTAAAGGACTTCCACATCTCCCATCACTTGGGTATGGAGCTACTCAACTCTCCTGGGCCAGTCAGCATTCTCCCACCAAAGCCTCCCACTGCCCACTCACCTCTCCCCTCACAGCTGCAGGCCTGTCCGTGCTGAGGTTGGCTGCCCCTCCCCCTCCCTAGTAGTGGAACTGCCCCCTACCTTAGACACTCAAGGATGCCCCCCCCAGATTCTTCATATGCTTCCAGAAACATCTTTCACATAGACAAATACACATATATAAAATATGCTTTGATTCTACATCCTTTTGAGGAGGGCATTTTTTTGTTTGTTATTTTTGAGACAGGAACTCACTATGTAGTCCAGGTTGTCCTTAAACAGATTCTCTTCCCCAAGTGCTGGGATTACAAGCAAATGCTACAAATGGTTGGCACATAACCTATAATCCAGCACTCAGAAAGTAGAAACCAAGAGGGTTGGAAATTCAAGGTGGCTCTAAGCTACACATAGCAAGTCTGAAGCCAGTATGTGAGATTCTGTCTTAAAAATAGCAAAAATAACAACTAAAAAAACCCAGAATACTAGGCAGTGGTGATGCACGCCTTTAATCCCAGCTCTTGGGAGACAGAGGCAGGCGGATTTCTGAGTTTTGAGGCCAGCCTGGTCTACAGAGTGAGTTCCAGGACAACCAGGGCTATACAGAGAAACCCTGTCTTGGAAAAAACAAAACAAAAAAAAAAACCACAAAAAAAAACAGAATAATGGAATAATGGTTTTTGAGACTACCTCACTATGTATCCTTGGCTGGCCTAGAACTCTATATAGACCAGGCTGACCAGAAAATCACAGTGATTGGCTTTGCCTCTGCTTCCTGAGTCCTAGGACTAATTAAAGGTGTGTAAAGCCAGCTAAAGCTACATAGTAAGACCCTGTCTCAAAATCAATAAAAGGCTTTTTTGGAGGGACTGTGTGTTTGTGTGTGTGTGTGTGTGTGTGTGTGTGTGTGTGTGTATCCTAAAGATCAGGTAAAGATCAGGTCCAGAGCCTGGCATGTGCTAGGCCAACATTCTGTCACTGAGAGATACATCCTAGCCATTAACTGTAATATTTAATACTCAATGTCCTCAATGAACTAATTGTAGTATAATCCCAAAGTTGTTCTGCTTATAACTACAGTTCCAGGAAATCTGACACCCTGGCCTTTGAGGGCACCAGACACATAAATACATGCAAGCCGAACACTCACACACTCTTAAGACAGGGTCTCATATCCCTCTAGAAACAAGAATCACCTCCTACCTCCCTCCACCTCTTCAGTGCTGACATAGTTACGAGCTGCCACACCCAGCTCCAAATCAACTTTTCAATGGCATTTGAGAAATAGCTCCCTTCTGGTTCCCCAAGTCCCAGGTCCCTGATTTGGGGGCATTTTCTGGTCAGAATGGCTAGCTACCTGATAACTGTGCCTAGAGCTCTGTGCTAGAGCCCTCTTCGCCTCCTGTCTGCTTTGACTGGATAAGAACCCATGGGGGATAGTACTCTTCCAGAAGCATCTGTTCCCACAGCTCCCAAGGATTCAGTGGTATAGTACATCCACAGCATTCCCACACCACCACAGAGCTGAGACCAAAAGCCAATGTGCTTGTCTGTTTCTCTACTTAACTAAATTCTTTTTCTGCTATCCTGATAATCAGCCGCACCTGGAATGTGCTAGGTGATGCTTAGCCATACCTCACTCTAAACCTAGGTTGCTCTGGAATTCACTGTGTCATTCAGGCTAGCCTCTAACTTGTGACAACCCTCCTGCCTCAGTGTCCTGTGTGCCGAGATTAAAGGTGTGAGCTGATGTGGCTAACTACTTGAACAAATTTTCAAAATTAGCAAGCCATGCAGTAAACCCAGAAGCTAATGGTCAACTTCAGAATGTGGGCCAGCAAAATGGTTCTGCAAGAAAAGATGCTTGCTGCCAAGGCTGGCAGCCTGAGTCCACTCCCCAGGACCACATATGGTAGAAGGAGGGAAACCTCCCAAGTGCTGGAATTAAAGGTGTGAACCATTACACCCAGCACCCTTCCATACCTCAACAAAAAGAATGAATGTATGTGAACTAAATTATGTGTTCTTCAGCTGGGCAGTGGTGGTGCACGCCTTTAATCCCAGCACTTGGGAGGCAGAGGCAGGTGGACTTCTGAGTTTGAGGCCAGCCTGGTCTACAGGGTGAGTTCCAGGACAGCCAGGGCTATACAGAGAAACCTTGTCTCGAAAAACAAACAAACAAACAAACAAACAAAAAATTATGTGTTCTTTGATTTTTTTTTTACTAAATATCTACACATTAATGTTTGAGAACTAAGCACATAAAGTATTTATTCTGAACTAAATTATATAAGCCATCTCATTCCAGTTAGCCTACACGTGAATAATTTTAATATAAAGGTCTTTGTGAATTCTTAAGGAACTTAAAGGGCTGTATTATAAAATTTTAGCCAGATGATCTTGCAATTTGAAAATGCCTTTTTAAAGACAGAGTGTAGCCCTGAACGACCTAGAACTTGCTTTGTTTAGACCAAGCTAACCTCTAACTCAAAGATCCACCTGCCTCTACCTCCTGAGTGCCAGGATTAAAGCTTAAAGGCATGTGGTGCCACCAACCACCCAGCTGAAAACATCGTTCTCATTCTTTTTTTTAATTTTTTTTGTTTGTTTGTTTTACATGACAGGGTTTCTCTTTGTAGCCCTGGCTGTCCTGGAACTCTGTCGACCAGGCTGGTCTCAAACTCAGAAATCCACCTGCCTCTGCCTCCCAAGAGCTAGGATTAAAGGTGTGCACCACCACTGCCCAGCTATAAAAACATCATTCTTAAAATACTCAGATTATAAGACTATAGATGTAAAGTAAGAATAGTGTTTGCTGGAAATAAGTAGTAATATAAACGTAACATTGCAGGGGTTTTGCACTTACTGCTCAGAAGGAAGTGACCCTCCTCAGGAAGTCCCATCGTCAGGCTCAGGTTGAACAAATGTAAAAGCAGACAGCCCTATCCCCCAAAGCACTTAGAGCCTCACTGCCATAATAAGTAATAACTAGCGTCAAATGCGGGTAACAGTATGGGAGAGTAACAAGATGGCTCATAGAGTGAGGAAGCATGCCGCCATGCTGACAACCTGAGGTCAGTGGAGGGAGAGAGCACTCTCGTGCAAAGTTGC